TTAATAAAACATTAAAGATAATAAAACTAGATATATGAAACTTTCTAACCAACAATGATAATGAAAGTAACATTAAAGAAAGAATATAGGTATAGCTTACTTATAGAACACATAAACACTAGTTTTTAGCTTTGAATATTGTCATGGATTAAATATTTGTTAAACAACTTAACATTAGTATAACTATGTATTATTGTTCATGAGTTTCCTCTCTAATTTCCTGTTTCTTAGAATTCAATCTAGTGAAATAAAAAGTCCATTTTAACTTTGAGAGCAGAAGAATCACATACCTGTAAGTAAAACACTAACTTTCAAAACAAAACATTCATAGCTCATAATACAAAAATTAGAGTTCTTGCATTATCAGGTTATGCATAGAGTTTAATATAACCCTCAGGTGTAATTGCCAAAAATAAAAAATCTTATCCAAATAAAATTGCATGAATTAAACTTTTAAATAATGGTTGCTATTTTGCAAATGGAAAATAGATCAAAGAGTTTTTTGATACTGGTTAAAGTTTTTCTGAAATTGTATTAAAATTTCTAAATGAAATCAATGATCAAAGAAAATACTATATACAGGATTTGTTAAAATGTTGAGTAAGTTTTAAGTATCTTAATTAACAAAGTTATTGAAACACTAAACTAAAGGCTAACTTATAAGCAGAACTTTGTTGGTTGCTTTCTGGCCTCAGCTTATGTTTGAGCAAGCTCCTTTATATACAAAGGCTCTATACATCACTGGCTATTGTTAAGATCTTAAAAGAATTTCAATGACCACTCATCTTAGACTTGTTTCAGTACATTTGATCTACTCAAATACCTTAACTTTGCATATTCCTTCATGCAATTTAACAGTTTTTTGTAGTAGGATCAATATAACCATGCAGACAGAAGGACAAAATAATTTAATATACAATATTTTGTACTTTCAGTGTAGAAGTATGATACTTAAATCTATCTAAAAAATACTATTATCAGGAATTAGGTTTTTTTAGAACATATCTCAACTGTATGTGAGGACATAGCCTATGAAGTATGGTTTGTAGTTTATTTTTTTACACTCAGAGAATATTCTCCTACTCGTGTTAAGGTTATAAGTAATGAATATTTAGGAACTTTATACACAGGTGGTTTATTAAAACTTTCCTTTTTCAAAAATTACAAAGTATTTAATCAGTGGCATGTACAGGAAAACTATTTTTGCACAAGAATTCTTTGATATAAATTTTTGCCTAAAGATGTAACTAATAAGTATTTGAAATGTTATAGTTATAATAAAAATTTCTTAACCATATTTTCTTTATATAAAGTTGGTATAAAGTTTGTGAAGTTAAAATACAAGTGAGTGAACATTTTTATGGTATGTCTCACATATGAGAAAAATATTGTATATCCAAACTCAACATCAAGGCTAGCACAATAAACATTGCTATCAAACTTCAAAATTATATTTCTGGGTATATTCATTACGAGAGAAAGTCTTTGGGAAAAACTAAATAATCTACCAAAGCATGATAATAAACATTGCTATCAAACTTCAAAATTATATTTCTGGGTATATTCATTACGAGAGAAAGTCTTTGGGAAAAACTAAATAATCTATCAAAGCATGATAATAAACATTGCTATCAAACTTCAAAATTATATTTCTGGGTATATTCATTACGAGAGAAAGTCTTTGGGAAAAACTAAATAATCTACCAAAGCATGATAATAGCTTCCAATATTTGAAAAATAAAAGAAATCCCTGGATGTCTTCCTGATGGTCTAATTTTTAAATATTGTTTTTCAGATAAAGCATCTTTCTTTAGTTTCATTAAATATCTTCATAATATAATCTCTAGTTTTACTAAATGTCACTTCACAAATTTTATTAAACCTCTTAAAATATCTTCAGCCTTTCTGAGATATGTTTTTTTCATCCAAAATTACTATACTACAGTGCTGTTCAAAAGATAAATAACAAATGAAAAAAAATCATATCAACAAACACTTTACTCCTTAACCTTTGGACACCAGTGTATTTACTTTATCAGATTTGGAAATGACAATATTATAATTATTTCTTAAATTATTCAAAGCTATGAATTCTTTTTTACTTGTCTCTTTGTGGATCAGCAGTAAGTTTATAGACTTACAATTCTAAAAACCCAGAGTTTGAATCCCTGTAGTGGACAGAGTGCAGATAGTCCATTGTGTAGCTTTGGAATAAAACAAACAAAGTGAAATGAAACTTCTTTACCTAAATTTTTTTTAAATTCTAATCACAGTTACAGTTGTTGAAAAATTTTATAACTTTTCTACTAACCTGAGTTCTAACATTACTAAAAGACTCAATGTTCAGGTTTTGATCAAATAGGTTGGTGTGCAAAAAGAAATGCTATAATCTTCAACTTAACTGGAATATTAAATTTTAAGCCATAAGCTAAAACTTTTTTTCTTAAAACACACTTCGAATAATTAGAAATTACATTATTTGGTTGTTCTGCGAGCAGACTTTTTACCTTGTTGTCATTTTAATTTGATTAAACGAACTTATTTTTTCTGAAATTGTATTAGAATTTCATTATTATGTGTTTCAATGAAGTTTTTAAAGTGTAAGAAATCTAAACTATGTACTTTAGAGTAAAAACTTTTATGGACTGCTGTGTTAAAGATTTAAACAAAAGATTCTTTGTCTGATTTCAAAACGTAACAATGATTTTTGGGCATTATGATAATATTGTCTAGGGTAATGAAACTTAGTTACTGAAGCCTAAACATTTAAAATATGAGGAAATATCTTAAATGTTTGCCTTCATTCAAAAATTTTATATGTAATTTATTCTTAAAATATTTTCAATTTTTAAATATTTCTAAGCTGAGTTAAAATGAGTTTACTGTAACATCTTATAGTAATATCAGCAATAGTCTTATTTTTAGGAAATCTCAAACAGATTATAAATTTGGAAACCAGATGAACTAGTAACTACTTAATAAAATTCCTCTTCAACATGTGTGTAAAATCATAAATAAATAAACAAATTTAAAAGCAACAGTTTTTTTTTGTTTGTATAATAAAAATAATTTTTATTTCAGACTGATCTACAGTATCAAATACATTCTACATGTTTGATGCTTTGATGATATAGTAAAACATTAAACCTCATTTTAAACATTTTAAGTAAATTCCTGAGTAATTGTAACGTATGAACCCAAAAAAATTTTAAAAAAATCTCCTTTTTTAGTTGTTTGAATTTAGTCACAGAGATTTACTGCTGAATTGCAGGGTTGCCAAATGGTACAACCCTAGTCTGCTAAAGAACTAAATGCCAGTTGGAGTTGTAAAAACTAAATACAACAAATTACACTATGTTCCTATGTTTTATATAATTCTAATTTTTACCAAAGATTTAGAATAAATAAATCATATTAGGTGACGAAGTAAGAATAAATACCGAAACAGAGGCTGTTATGTACATTATAAAAAGAGAAAAAATATTTACTTAACACAGACAAGATGAAATATAAATTCAAATATCCACCTCCAAATTCAATATAATGGCTATAAAATTCACAAGCTTATGTATTTCACGGAGTCAGTCATCAAGTAAGGCAACATAAAAATCTGTTTAAAACCTTCATAGTTATCAGCATAAAAAGACAAATTATGCTTATAAAACCAAGAGTAACTTATAAACAGAACTTACTTAGTTAATCTCTGGTTTCTGTATAAAAGAGAGTTTGTTCATAAATAAGCTGGGGCCAGAGATTAACCAAGTAAGTCCTGCTTATAAGTTACCTTTAGTTTTATAACCATAACCATCTTTTTTGTGCAGTTAAAGTAAAGGCTGCATGAACTTCCATAGTTTAAGCATAAAAAAAGCATCATCATGCTTGATCAATATCATGACTTAATATAGTAGAGTTGTATAAGCAAAGGATATCCAAGGAGTGTGATGCATTTCCAACTATAAAACTGTTTCTTTTAAATTTTATTTGAGTTGGTCCCATGTGTAAAATATAAGTGTGGAGTAAACAATGCACCTAGAGCATATACTGAAGTTCATTTTAAATGCTATTAACAGAAAGAGTTCACTATGTGTTTAAACATAAGTCACAGTAACTTATAAGTAAAAAATGCTCTTGCTGTATCTAAAATAGATCGATGATTCTCTCTTGTCAAACTGAAATCATCAGTGATTGTTTAGGCATGTTATTTCACTTGACAAGCTCAAGTTCTTATTGGCTACTCTTCATTTGTGCCAATAAATCAAGTGATTGTACTTTTTTACAGGTATAGTTTTTACTCAAATCATAAAAGAAGTAATTGTTTTGTGACACTTTACTGTTTTGGGATTAATGTGCATAAGTATTATAGAAACAATGGATTAAACATTTTCTTAATACTTATACTCTAAGCCTTTTAGACATAGGGCATGCTACATACAAGCTCAGTCACGAATGCAAATATTATCTTTAAATACCATAACAACAGACTTCTAAATAACAGTTTAGAATTTATGTAAATGTTGTATTTATTTAACATTTTTGTTTTGTAATTTTCTCATAAGTAGTAATAATACACACAATTACTATTCAAATATATGGTTTGGCATTAAAGCAATTTACCAATAGCTAACTAGCAATTTATAAGTTATTTTATCTCATAAATCAGAATTGTTATTTAAAAAATTTAAAACATATATTTTCACAGTAAACGTAAGAACATAATAAGACGAAAGAAAAGAAGATAAAAAACAATTAATCCTCCTAATAATAATGATAAGGAAAAAAAGAAGGGGCAAATCAATTGTATAATCTTCCTAATATTACAAATAAGGAAGAAAAGAAGATAAACAACAACCTTCCTAGTATTAGCTGTCAGCTCTCTTCACCAAAGATCCTTAATAAGTACTGAAAGATTGTAGATGTAATAAAAAAATACCAAGTATTTTTTAATAGTAACCAGGTTTATAAATAGTACTATTTGTATAACTAACTTATTTATTTTCCAGGGTCTCAAACGTTCAATAATTGATGATGGTTTAGCTGTTATTGTCAATTACGTAATTATTCCACACTCTGGATGGGATCAACACAGAGATCCAAATGATCAGCTAAGAGTTCAAGAAATATGTTGGTCTACTGTGTTTCGTAATGCTAGTGGAATTTTAAGGTAAATTTAGACTATATATATAAAATATGTCATAATTTGTATTTTACTGCTAATTTCAAAATATTAATACAAAAATTAATACGCAATAGATTTGATAAACAAACATCAAATAAACTTATTAAAATATTTTGTTAGAAATATAACAATATATTACATAAATGTGAAGAAGTAAGAATTAAATATGCTTAAAAATTGTGAAAAAATATTAGACATTAATTTGTTTTGAATATAAAGTCAGTTAAACAAGAATCTCTTGGCACTGTTTTCATGCATGTATTACCATCATTAACATGCATGAATGCACAACCTTTTATAAAAGGTAGAAGAGTATTTAAAAATTAGAAGTTATAATAAGTTTTACAAGTAGACTTTATGGGTGTCATACTAGTTTAGGAAACTCGGTAGGGATTTTATTCTGGTATCATTTGTCTGTGGTTCTACTAATATTACCTTATTTATTTGAGCTTTTACTAATGTAATGGGTGCTGGAAGGTTTGATTACTCAGAGCTGCCAGAAGTATAGCTTTTACTTTATATTCCCTTTTTCTTATTTTGTCTTCTGAGAGCAATCACCTTCCCACAGTTGTCTGCAGGCAATGAAGCGTGATATAGATGTGTGGGCTTGAATACCCACATCATGATCTCTTATCTTTTTTTTATTATTATTTTTCTTTGTATGTGAGCCTTTGTGGATTGATGTTAAGACTGATAGATGGTGTATCCCCATCGCTGTGTAAGTCCTACTTACTCATTCACCTCCAAAAACAAGAATACTTATACCCCCATTTTATAAATCTTATCTACTCATATAATGTTTATGTTTACCTTATATATATATGTATATGTACACACACACAGATTGACCACTGACATTTCTTTAGATTATTAGTAATAGGTGATTCATGTTTGGTATTTACTAATTAAATGAGGAATAAGCTAGGAAGAGTTTTGGTAGAAAAACCTTACTAAACAGGTTTATCCATTTTTGAAACTTAACAATCAGTCAATATGACAATGAAATTAGTTCTGTTTGATTACATGAACAACTATATATCTGTATTATTAGAAATATAGTAGTTATAGCTCTGTTTAAATTTCCAAGGCTAAACATCTCAGTTGGCATTTTGTATGTGTGATATTTTGTGGTACTGATTGGAGGCTAATTGACTTTGTTACTTTTGATATCCAGTATTGGAATAGCTACTTGTGTTTTATTGTCATTATTTATTACACATTTCAAACCCAGTTGTCTACTGGATTTTCTTCACATCAACTTTTATTAACATATATATATATGTAATGTACGAATAAATTATCATGATATGATACACAGTTTGTTTGGAGCATCAAGATCCTGCTAGGTTTTTAGCAAAAAACTGATATTGATCTTCATTGTTACCAAAAACTTGCAGGTTGTTGGCTGACCATGTAATTCATCTTGCAATATACTAGCTGGATAGTGATATTCAGTCTACTTACTAATATGTTGATATTGGATGTGTGATTGCTTTTTCATTACATACAGAAATGTCAGCTCTGCTGGTGAATATTCTAGAAAAAAATTACGAGAGTGTGAAGGTCTTGTGGAATCCTTGCTTCATCTGGTTAAAGCAGCTATAGGAAAGAATGACATGGACAACAAGAGTGTAGAAAACTGTGTCTGTATATTGAGAAACCTATCATTTCGCTGTCAAGAAGTAGAAGACCCAGAATATGATAAAAGAGTTTTACAGCCATCACATTCTCGTAGTGGATCAATGAAAGGTAAGATTTTCTGTGACAAAATGTTAGTGTACTTTAGCAGCTCTTTTACTTTTGTAATGAACTTGATGTATGGTAAGAACTTGAGAGAAGAAATGTCAATGAACTTTTGCTTGAATAGCTTACACACTTGAGTAGTGGATCAATGAAAGGCAAGATCCTAAGTGAAAAAATATCAGTTAACTTTAGCTTTAACACCTATCCCATTCTAATCATGGACCAATGTAAGAGCTTTATCAAAAAACTTTATCAAACTGAAAAATTATGAAAGAAATCATAGTTTGTGAACTTAGAGGAGAAATTATATAATTCTTTAGCTGCTTGTCAGTTTGTTTTAAAACTATTCCTTTAACTACTTGTTCAAGTAATTAAACATTTTTCTGAAGTTCTTTGTCGTCTTCATTAAATAAGGTTTCTATCTTTCAGTCAGCACTGAAAATTTTAAATAACAGTAATATGAAAAAATTAATTGCTTCATAAAATACAGTAATGGAAATAATTATAGAAAGACACAAGCAATGATACACATATAGGAGTCACAAAGAATAAGTAATGGCAACTAGATGATGAATAGTAGTACAATACAATATTAGTAGTACAAAAATTACTACAAAAAATACCAAAGAAAAGCTGGTATTTTGTTTGTTAGCTTTGCTTTATACAGAGCATTACACCATGTTTTCATGCTGCTATACAATTTATCAATGTACAATTGTGAAATATTGTTCTAAATATCTTATATTACTTCCCACAATTCTCGTAAGTCCATAGAGCCTCGAGGATATTCATATCGGTACTTTGGACATTCCAAGCCATGGTTGTGAGTGTTCCTCTTTACCTTCACATTTGCTGCATGCTTGCTTGGAATCATTATCTTGCTGGAAGATAAATCCCCACTTAATAAGTCATGTTTCTGAGGGAATGATATGATGGATTAGAATCTACATATACTTTTCAACAGTCAGGTTGCTATCAATATTGTGTATATCGCTGACTCTGTTGGCTGAAATGCAGCCACAAATGAGTTCTTTTCCCTGATGTTTCACTTAAATGCTGTACATTGGCTAATGTATACCTGGGACTCAGCTGTTGAACAAAGTGTTATTGATTCTTGCCAAACAGTTCAAACTTGGATTCATCATAAAGAACACATTTCTCCAGCTTTGCACATTCTATGTTTTTGGTTCAATTCTCATTTTTACATTTTCATTTGGTTACCCTTTCTCAGAAGTAGTTTTCTGGCAACTTCATATCCATTAATTGAGACTTCTTTGTTTTAATCTGTATCTTACTATTCTCAAGGTAACATTCACACCTGTATTTACAGCAAGGTCTTTGGCAAGATCTGTACTCAGCAGTCTTCTATCTCATAACTATCATAACTTTGAGATATTTAACATCACTTTTGGAGGATATTAGTTTTCCACCTTGACCACTTCTGTTATTAAGAGTGCCAGTTTCATGTACTCTCTACTGAAACATAGTCTTGCTGCAGTTTTTTTTTTATGGAAAAATCTTGATCTGCAAAAATATTAATATTGTCATGGATATTTCACCCTTGATAATCATGATTGGATCATACTACTACTACTACTTGGTATAATATGGTTGCCTGCACTTTTATACGATTTAAATTAGTATGGTATCTTCTTATTGGTTAGACGATAACCAATTACAGTGAAAAATATTAACATAGGACTAAACACTGGTTTAGTTCATTTCTGCATGATAAATGGCCAGCATTCCTGTAGCATTTGGTTTTTTATAACATTTTTCCTAACCATTTCCATTACTGTATATGTTACACTAATGTTAGTTTGTACTGTTAGAAATATAATTAAATATGAATCTGGGTTAGTTGTGACCTTTTGTTTAGCCTGCCCAGATTGAAAATCCAAGAATTCATGGTTCATGTCTTATTTTTGTAAGAAAAATATGCTTCAAACTAGGGGGCCATGGGAACACTATAAGAGTAATAGTTAAATCCCACTATTCAGTTAGACAAGAGCAGCCCAAGAGTTGGTGGTGACGCTGTTGGCTATTTTCTTTCCCTCTAGTCATCAGTTTAACATTAGGGATGGCTATGTGCAGGTAGCACTTTGTGTAGCTTTGCGTGAAAGTCATAAATCAAACATACAATGATTGAATCATTTGATATTCTGTAAAATCTGCTTTAATGCTAATAACAGTTAAATGGTTGTAATAATTTTTAACATTTAGTATAAAGTTACATTAAGCCTTAAAACTTTTGTGAAATTTCATAATTCAATTTTAAATTAAATAAAATAAAAAAAGAATTACAAAAGTGTTAGTTTATGATTATTTAGTAGGAGACAGCTTGGGCTGCTTTGGAACAACAAAAAAAAGAAAGATGGAGATAGTACAGAGAAACAGAAGAAAGAGGCTTTTCTGTCCTCAACTCCAAGACAGGGGGCAGGACCAGTCCAAGGGATGGAGCTATTATGGCAGCCTGAAGTGGTGCAGCTATATCTGTCCTTGTTGTCAGAGTGTTCAAACCCAGAAACATTGGAGGCAGCAGCTGGAGCCATTCAAAACCTGGCTGCTTGCTACTGGCAGGTAAGTTAGCTTCATTCAAAACCTGGCTGCATGTTACTGGCAGGTAAGTTAGCTTCATTCAAAACATGGCTGCTTGTTAATGGCAGGTAAGTTAATTTCATTTAAAATGTTGAACAAAACAATTACATTAATTCAAGCTTGTTAAGAAATAATTGAAAAGTTTAAAAGAACAATAAGGGTCCTGAGCCAGATATTTCCCCAAAGGTTTTGAAGGAGGTTAAGAATTGGATATGTGAGCACTTGCTACTATTTTTTTGTTTGTAAGTCCTTAAATAGTGGGCAGGTGCCAAAGAATTGGAAGTTAGCTAATGCTATCACTCCCCTTTTCAGGGTAGGTAATAAAAATTGTCCAAGTAATGTTTGGCTTATTAGTCTTACAACAGTTGTGGGAAATGTTTTGGAAAATCTGATAAAAGTTGCTTTGCAAAGTCATTTAACAAAGGATAAGTTAGCTAACTGGATAGAAGAGTGGATAGATAGAAAAAAGCAAAGGGTTTTCATAAATGGAGTTCAGTCATACTGGATTAATGTCACAAGTGGAGTACCTCAGGGCTCAGTCTTAAAACCTTTGCTCTTTTTTGATTTACATCGATAACATAGGGTAAGAAAGGGTCAATAAATTACATAAATTTGCTGGTGATATTAAGGTCTTAGGTGTTACTAGCTGTGAGGATGCTGCTGGTGCTTTACAGAAAGACTTGTATCATTTAGTGAGTTGGACAAATAAATGACAGATGGGTTTTAATTATAATAAATGCAAGATAATACACGTAAGTTATCATAATTTGGATGGGAATAACCTTAACAGTGTTATGAAAGAAAGGGACTTTGGTGTAGTGGTTGATCAGTCTCTTAACACGTTCACTACCACCAGTAGTATTAATAATTCCTATCCTAGTGCCAACTACTTTTTTTTTTTCCTTAACCCAGGTATCTAATATTTATATGGGTAACTATAGTATGTTTAATTAGCTCACTGAAGCTACCTGTAATATGTCCCACTGCTGGGGCACATGGCACTGAACATGTTAAGCCATCCAAGCAGTGTGCTGTTATTAGTGGTATGGCAAATATGATTTTAGTTTGTATCTACAGAAATATTGAATACAAGTCTAAACAAGGTATAATTTCATTGTAGCCTAACCAGTAATCACTAGTTAAGCTACATTTGGAGTATTGTGTTCACTCTCGGGCTTCTTATCTTAGAAAGGACATTGAATAGTTGGAAAGGGTTCAGAGGAGGGTTTCTAGAATGGTGCCTGGGATGGAGGGGTTGTCATACAAGGAGAGGTTAAGATCTCTGAAATTGTTTTATCTTGGAAAAAGAAGGGTTATGGGGATCTTATTGAGGTGTTTAAGATTGTAAAGGGAACTGATAGTGTTGATACATCATCTTTTTTCATATTTAACAGTGAGTATAGTAGGACTAGGGGACACAAGTATAAATGTTGGCAGGGTAGGAATCGTCTTCAGCTAAAAAGTTGTATTTTTATAATGGGGTGGATGGCCTTCAGATGTTGTGGAGGCAATAACTTTAAGTGAGTTTAAGGGAAAGCTTGATAACTATATGAATGATAATGGCTCGCTTTAAGAATTTTTTTTAAATTTATTTATTTAATACACTTGGTTTACTTTAAAGAATGGGACAGCCAAAATGGACCAGTAGGTTCTTTGTTGCCCCTATACATTATGTTATGCTAAATGTTTTGTATTAAGTTTATGCATTTATATTATGTTTTATGTTTATAAAATGTTTTATTTCTGTCTTTTTTTTTCCTCATAAAAATTAGCTTACAAATTTTTCTATGTGTAAATAATAGTGAAGTGTTTATTTTTTGCAGTGCCAGAAATTATTCATACATGATTTGTATTTCTTGGTTCGCTCTAAGAATATAATGTCACACAAGTTGGTTTTTAGTGCAAGGAAAAACTGTTCACACACATACATGCACGTATAGATTGTTCTAGTTTTATCTGCTTTTTGTATCTTTTAATCTATTTCTTCGATATTTTCACTCTGAAATCTTTAAGCTAACTTGTGGTTGGGTTGTTTATTCTTTCTTTGATTCTGTTATTGTGCAACTACCTTTCCATAGTTTGCTAAGGAAGATGAATGTGCACATATAGTTGGGTTCAGGACATTATGGGTTAAGTCACTTGAATCTGGCCATCTAATAATTTCCGTTTTGTTCATATGTTGTTACACAGCAGATATTCTCATCTATGATAGTGTATAATTGCAAACAGACTATCTTCAACACTTTTTAAAAAATTTCAAGATCAATAACAATACTAAATAATAATATGTTTTAACTATATCTCATGGACTAACTTGTTTAAGCTTAAGGCAGGGTTTTTATTTAGTGTTTAAACCACGCAGTTACATTTCATGTGACTAGCTAATTTACGTAATTTTTAACAACATTAATATCTGTACATCACTGCCAAGGGAAGCTTGTGTCAGTTCTGTAACACATGTATACTGAAATTGAAAGTGCTCTGGCTAAAAGGCGAGTTAGCACTTTAATATAATTGAAAATTCATAGTTGAACTACATGATAGAAGGAATAATAAATGAAGGGTAAACAAAACCATAACAAAATATATTAGAATTTGCTACCTCATGAAATGTCTAAAATTAATAACTTATCTGATACATCAAAATTAACAAAAAACATAGTAATACATTATCTTTATAAAGAAATGGTAACATTTTGTGTCTCTTGTGAAAACAAAACAAACAATTAGGTATCTACTGGAAGTCTCATAGCAATAATTCTGCTACCAAGCATATTTTGTTTTGTCATTAATCTCTTTGATGCTGCTCTTAACTTTTTAAAGTACATGATTAGGCATAAGGTTAAAAAATGTATAAAAATCTTTTTTTTTATATTGCAGCAAATTGTTAGATCAGTATCATCTGTTTCTTTCCCAACTTGGTCTATTGTGAGTAATTTTACTCTTGATGTTTTTCCCACAAAATCTCTATATTGGGAAGATTATTTCAGCTTTATGAAGCAAATTAAACACAGCTTCACTACAGTATATTAAACACTTATCTGTAGCATCACTAAGTTATTATAAGCACTTATCTATAGCATCACTAAAGTATGTTAAGTACTTATCTACAGCATCACTAAAGTAAGTTAAGTGCTTATCTACAGCATCACTAAAGTAAGTTAAATGCTTATCTACAGCATCACTACAGTATATTAAACACTTAACCAACAGCATCACTACAGCATATTAAGCATTTAACTGTGTAAGCTCTGAAACTGACTAGCTTATCAACGCTGTTGTTTTGGTTAAACAAATGTCACAACAATTATCTTTATTTTTGACTTAAGCTATAACATAGCCTAAGTGTGGTACAGACTTACACTTTTGTCATTATTTATTTCACCAACTGAATAACTTTGTGTTTTACCGAAATGTGTTTTTTTACCTTACATTGAGACAAGTCAAGAAAATTTGCTAAAAAGATGTCTTCACCTTTTTAATAACTTGATGTTGAATTTACTGCTACGTACTGTGAAACACTAATGATTCTCAACCTTTTTTTGTATTTTAATAGTGTTAGCACTTGATTTTTTTTATCAGACACGCAAGAAAAGATTATTTAACACGTATTGGATAAACTGTGAAGTGAGAACAAACTTTTATGTACAATGAAACAATTCAGTTGTATATATAGAATAAAAATTTTATTAAGATAACTCCTGTTTGCACAGGTTTTTTAGCATTCTTATTAACTTGAATGGTCTTTAACAAAAGGCATGAACTCAACTGCTTCTTGGTGTTTGCTTTGAATGAAATTTCCAAAAACTGTTGTTAGTTTTAATGAAGAAATTAAATGTAATCATTTATTACCAATAAACCATACAGTTGTTTTCAGACTTACACTCATTAATGATGTAGTTTAATCCCACACTTACTGCTTGACTCAATAAATGATACATGTGAGATTTCATCTTACCAAAATGTTTAGGTGTTAGTCTCTTTTCAGTTAGGTTCATTGCCAGTTTGATCTCAATATTTTTCATTCAACTTTAACTTCCCACAAGTTCCGTCTTTCTTTGTCAGAAAAAAAAGTTCTATTGTTGTTTTTCATTTTTCGTAATGATTATTTCAACCAACTACAATGCAGCAAGACGTTAATTACTTTTATCAGACATTTGTAGACCTGGTAGTACTACCAAATGTAGACAAACATGCAAGAGTGAAGTAAAGATAACATCCAGTTAAACCAAACAATCACAATACTGCATTCTTTCAGTGTTGGTTGCCAAACTCTTTTGTATAGATGGTTCTAGTTAGCTCCATTCAAAATCTGGCTGCTTGCTACTGCCAAATTTGTTATCTTCAGCCAAAATCTGGCTGCATACTTCTGGCAGATTAGTTAGCTTCAGTCAAATCCTGGCTGCTTGCAACTTGTAGGCTAGTTAGCTCCATTCAACTCCTAGGCTGCTTGCAACTTGCAGGATAGATAGCTCCATTCAACTCCTAGCTGCTTGTGAATTGCAGGTTAGTTGATTCCATTCAACTCCTAGCTGCTTGTGAATTGCAGGTTAGTTGATTCCATTCATCTTCTAGGCTGGTAGCAACTTGCAGGCTAGTTAACTCCATTCAACTCCTAGGCTGTTTGTTACTTGCAGGTTAGCCAACTTTATTCTGTGATTTTACAATAACTTCAATGTAATAAGCTAAGATTCAGGTAATGAGTGTTTATTTTTAAGTTGTAAAAGTAGCTCATACAGTTTCTGTTTTAGAGTGAAGATACAATTATTTTTGTAGTATTTTATACACCACCAATAAATAAGTTAACGAGGCATCTTTATGAAATTATTTCTAGAACTATATTCTGTTACATATTTATACTTTCCTTTCAGTATTTAAATCAGTATAAAACAAATGGGTGAGTAAATAAAATCTACTATTTCTATAGCCAAGTCTAGATATCCGTGCAGCAGTTAGGAAGGAGAAAGGTCTTCCAGTATTAGTGGAATTACTTAGAATGGATGTTGACAGAGTAGTGTGTGCAGTCGCCACTGCTTTAAGAAACCTGTCCATGGATCAGAGGAATAAAGAACTCATAGGTAGAACCAATAGTATTTAAGTAAAATGATGTTTTTCTGAAGAACTTTTGATACAGTTCATATCTATTTTAAAAGGTATATTAGTATTACTAGCACTAACATTTTTTTAGGTGGACATGGTTCTATGTTTTCTTTAGGGCTGAAGATTAACTGAGTAAAAATATGAAGTGTTTCACCCTATACTATAGAATCTGTTGTCAAGTGAGAAGCTTACTAAGAACATATTTTATAGCTTTTTGTAAGCAACAGTTTTCTATGTCTCATCAGTACTTTTATCTTATGTAAGCATTACTTTTCTATGTCTCATCAGTATTTAAAGCTTATTTAAACATTAGCATTCGACATCTAATCAGTATTTATAGTGTACATACACATTAATTATCAGTTTCTAAGCATTTCAATTTAAACGTTTTTATTCTATTAGCAAATAGTTTTCACCAATACAGTACATTACTTCACATTACTCGTTCAGTGCAGCCCTCTATAGGCAAAACTTTTTCGCATGTTACAAGCCTTGAATTTGCATACATCCCACGATAAACGTGGTTCAACTACTTCTTGCATGTAAATCATCATGCAACACACCCTGATGCACGTGGCCTCCTCTATTCGATTCTACTGAACTATCAGTGTTCGATTGCAGATATTTTTCAATTGAGCATTTTTCAAGTGTTCATTTGATTTTTGATTTTTTTTTTTTTGCAAAGTAGTGAATTGCTTGATTTATTCATTTACTGCAGTTATTTTGTTGTAGTAGTTTGCCACAATAACTTACTTTTGTATATTGATTTTTTGTGTGCTCATTTTCGAGTTCCTCACAGTTTAAAATGAATTTCAAAGTTTGTGTATAGCAACTTCTGATATTCTTACCACTACTTTGAGTGCTATTACACAGACTTTAGGTCTGGGGGTCTCGACTGTGGATTTTTCAGCTATCATTCGTTGAGAAATTGATTGCTATATGAGTTGCCTTTCTTCTCCCAAAAATGTTCGGGTTCCTCCTGCATCGTCTGAACCTGTTCATGACAAGGAGAAATTTGACTACCTTTTTGTACCTTCTTACTATGCCATGCCTTCTCATACCTCTCGTACAGAACCAACTAGGCCTAACTGTGCCTTTTTTTATATGCTTTCTCAGGTGTGTTCCATTTTCTCATTTTCACCTATTTCATATGATACATCCCTTCATTGTTACATGACTCCCATCTTTAGAGTACCTTATCTTCCCTCCTTTCCCTGACATCAGGGTTCATGCTGAGCATTTTGTTTCTCAGTTGAGGGCTGATCTTAGCATGCCTCATCCTCTATGGGCTTATGATCATTATACTTTGGCTTATCAGCAGGCTGATCAACCCTTTCTCGGCTCCCAGCAATTGGAATCACTTTCGCCAATGTGAGGGCTGTCCCTGAAAACCCTATTCATTTCTCCCATGCCCAGTTTCCCACTCTTGTCTTACCTGTACAGCTCTCCTGCAGTACTTGTCCAACATACACTTCCTTTCTGAGGCATTCCACATTGGGTTCATCATCGCCAGCAGTTCCAGTGGGGACATGTATAGCCAATTTTGTTCCCTTGTTTTATCAGAAGGACTTTTCATCTGTTTCCATTCCCCATCACCACTGTCTCCTGTACCATTTCCTGCCCATTAACTCTGGATCCTGCTAGCAGTCTGCATCTATCCAAGGCTGTGGAGACCCTTCTATCACAGAGATCTATCGAGCTTGTCAGTCAGCTTTCTCCAGGTTTTTAGTTGTCCCCAAAATAAATCAGGGGACTGGTGTCTTGTGATCCATCTATCCTGCCTCAACTGATTTCTGGATCTACTCTGATTCATTCAGAAGAGTAGTCAACTATTCAAAAGCACACAAGTTTTGGTTCTCATTTGAGAACATTACAACTTTTGTAGGTGATCCTCTGTGATAACTTCTTAACCAGAATTTACCATGGAGTCCTTTATCACACTCAGATGGGATTTTTTCTCCAGGACTATGAATGAGCATGATAGATGTCTCGATTGACTATCTCTATTCTCCTATTTCTCATTGGTTCAGACACTATCTTCAGTTGGTCCACTATAGGCTAGATTCATCACTGTCTGTATTTTGTTGGGTGATCAAGGCCTTTGCCTGACTTATGCATATTTGAGGGTTGGCATTTACACCATTACATGAATAACTAGCTCCTGTTAGCTCATTCTGAACTGTGGTCTTCTCAACACACACATCTGCTGCTAATAGATGCAGCTCATGTTAATTGGATTCTCAAGTTGTAGATGTCTTTCTTTTTTGCCTACCTAATATCTTATCCACTTGGATGAATTTTTCAACACCCTTCTCATTAGGGCTCGACCTTTTCCACTTCGTCTTCATTCAATGAAGTTTTTAGTTCTCCATGCACTTAACTGCTCCCTCTGTTTCTGCGTGTGAGGTTCTGTCACTTATAGAGACTTGGGCTTCTCTGGAAGCCCTTATTCCTTTGGATTGAGCACATATATGTTCTCTTCAGTGTACTCTGCACGGCCAATAGACTCTTACTCAGGATCAATAGAACTCACACATTACTATTCCTCCTTTCATTACAGACAATCTGCATTGGTGGTTGAACAAGGACAACACAATGACAGGAGTACTGCTTTCTACAACTTGTCTAGATTTGCATCTGCTCACAGATGTTTCTCTCCACGGTTGGGGAGCATGGATAAATCATCAAGTGGCTTCTAGACAGTGGTCTGAGATCAAAATGTCTTACCATATCAACATCTAGGAGCTTCTAGTACTGAACTGGCATGTCATGATGATTTACATGCAAAATGCAGTTGAACTAATTGATCGTGAGATACCTGGGAGTTTGTGGTATGTGAACAAATTTATGCATATAGAAATCAGTACTGAATACATATAGAGATCAGTACATGTGAAAGAAGGTAAGTACCTATTGCTAGTATTGGAAATATATTTTCAGTATGGGAAAATAGTCATTTTTAGAAAAGGGCTTATTAGTGTTTGATAAATTATGATTAGATTTGAAGTAATACTATAGTAATTTTCTTTTGAAAAACAGCTGGCTGTTTAATGCCAGTAAACTGCAGCTACCAGGAAGATACTCTTCAGCTACAATATTTTCTGTGAGAGCCCAGAATTTCTTACATTTTTTTTCAGATTTTGGAAAAGTCCGTAATTTTACATCAACCTTTTATATGAGGTGTCGTACTAGTTTAATGAATACACACATACAGTGCTTGAAAGGGGGTGAGATGCCATCCCACTTCTTTTCAGAAGAGCCTAAAACCACTTTTCTACCTTTTAGTAGATTGTAAACTTCCCACAAGGGAAAAGTTCAGTAAATAATTCAATAAGGATTTTTTCAACAGCAAGGGACTAGGGAGAGAAAATACTGACTTTCAATTGCAGGACATCCACCCTTTTCTCATGGTAAAGTAAAAAAATATTTTATTTTGATCACTTGACTTCCACTGAGTGAAGAGATTTTTGTCAACTAGTCCTAATTATGAAGAAGCTTTTGGTGATTTTATTTCTCATTTACTCAGGTATGTTCTATTTTCAATTTTGAACTAATTCTGTTATGCCTGAGGGGTGCTGATGTAATTTTGAACAGTTCATCTCTGAATGCTTAAGTTTTCACCTTCTGATTCTTGGATCATTGTTGTGATGCTTTTGGGCATCAGCTACATATTAATGGCCTTTTAATGAAGATATCTTCCTCTTGTAATCTAACTTCTCCAGTTTTTGATATTCTGTTTGATTTTTTGGGATGATGAAATCTTTTATATGGTCTTTTACTTTGACTCATTGTCAGTTTTATGTCCTGCACAGGATGAAATTGTCTATTTTGAGACTTTCTTCTTCTTGGTTATTATCAAATATCAGCTACTCTCACTTTTCTGATCCTTAATTTTAATCAGGATCAAAATTTTACCTTTCAGTCATCCTTAGCTACAGTTCTCATGGATTTAGTTTCTATTACTGTGTGACTGTTATGTTTCTTTGACATCTTAGCTGATCACTCAGAAAATGCATGCTAACATGATTGGGGTTATAGCATTTCAACTTATTTCTGGTTGTAGTTTCTTTCAGAATGTCCAGCAAGTAATGTTCATCCTCCTCTCCTGCTTTCCTTGTCTACTCCTCAGTAGATGGCAGCTACTTTTGTAGTCTAATGAATGGCTAAATATAAACATAAGCAATTGGGGTATTCTTGACCTACTAAATGACTTCCTTCTGTTCTGTAGGAATCTCATCTGGACTGTTGGTCATTCTGTGAGATCCTTGGGTTTGACAGATCCATCAGTCTGGGCTTAATGTATCTTCCTCTTTTTTTCAATACAGTTGCTTTAAAAGTTCTGGATAAGGAAGTCTCAAACCTTCTTCAGATGTGAGATGTCAAAATCATTTATCATATTTCTCCAGGCTTTTACTTACATCTTTTTGTGGTTCTGAAGAACTCAGAAGATTGAAGAACTGTCATAGACCTTGTATTCACACATCTTTTCCTAGAGACACTTAATTTTCAAGTGGAAAACATGAGGTTCTTCATCATGGTCTTGAATGATGATGATGGATATACAAGGTGATTTTCTTTATATTCCTATTTTTACTTCATCCCACCATTCTCTTTTGACTCTGAGAGTAGTTTATCAATTCCCTTTCCATTTTCTGCCAGTTAGTTTAGTTTTGATGGTCTTCTCCATTCATTTGACATCAGCTTTTTTACTTTTACATGGTCAGTTGTCTTCTTTTCACCTTCTGTCCATTCATTCTTATACACATTCATTTTACCACCCAACTGGCTATATTTCTACAGTAGATCATCCATAACTTATTTCCTGATGGGTCAGTGATAAATTACAGAGTTAAAATGCACAAATCCAGGGTTTGATTTCCTGTAGTGAACAGAGCACAGATAGCCCATTGTGTGGTTTTACACTAAAACAAAAACAAATATCCATTACTCCAATTTCATTTAGTACTATCATAGTATT